TTTGAGACAGGGTCTTGCTTTGTCACCTAGGCTGGAGTGCATTGGCATGAACTCAGCTCACTGCAACCTCTGTTTCCCCAGCTCAGGTGATCCTCCCACGTCAATCTTCTGAGTACCTGGGACTACAGGTGTGTGCCCCCACATCCACCTAATTTTTGTATTTTTTCTGTAAAGATGGGGTCTACTATATTGCCCAGGCTGGTTTCAAACTCAAGCAATCTTCCCACCTTGGCCGTCCAAAGTGCTGGGATTGCAGGCATGAGCCACTGCACTCAGCTGCCGTAGGCAATTTTTTTTTTTTTTTTTTTTTTTGAGACAGAGTCTCACTGTCATCCAGGCTGGAGTAGTGTCATGGAGCAATCTCAGTTCGCTGCAACCTCCACCTCCCTGGTTCAACCAATTCTTCCACCTCAGCCTCCCAAGTAGCTAGAATTACGGTGTGCTCCACCACACCCAGCTAATTTTTGTATTTTCAGTAGAGACGGGGTTTCACCATGTTGGCCAGGCTGGTCTCAAACTCCTGACCTCAGGTGATCCACCTGCTTCAGCCTCCCAAAGTGCTGGGATTATAGGTGTGAGCCACCACATCTGGTCTAGACATCTTTATATCAAAATAATCTGGACTTTATACATTAGCGAGGATACAAATTTAGAGTTGTAAAGTTGGATAAATATTCAGATATTCAGGTTGACATCTTTTCTATAATGTAGTAGTTTGAAAACTAGAAACAATATTTCAGATCTTTGCTTCCTGATGAATTTCTTAGGAGCTAAACTCTGTCTTGCCCAAATCTAGTTATTAGGCACTTTCCATATATAACAAAGACTTTTTCTTTGAATATCATCTTGTTCTATTTCTCCACAACAGCTGATTTTTAATTCCCCAAATGATTCCATATCCACATAGAGTCAAAGTCATTAGCCATCTTCTTTTGCTAAAAATGAATATTAAAAAAAAAGCAAGTTATAGATGTTAGAAGTAAAAAAAAGTTTTCTTAAATTACCCAGTACACAAGGGGTTGCTTCCACTTAAATAATTTCTATAGTATCATGGTTTTCAAAAAGGTGGGAGTAATTCACAAAACAAAGTATCAGGCCGGGCGTGGTTGCTCACGCCTGTAATCCCAGCACTATGGGAGGCCAGGGTGGACGGATCACCTGAGGTCGGGAGTTTGAGACCAGCCTGACCAACATGGAGAAACCCCATCTCCACTAAAAATACAAAATTAGCTGGGCAGGGTGGTGCATGCCTGTAATCCCAGCTACTCTGGAGGCTGAGGCAGGAGAGTTGCTTGAACTCAGGAGGCGGAGGTTGCAGTGAGCCCGGATCGCACCATTGCGTTCCAGCCTGGTCAACAAGAGCGAAACTCCATCTCAAAAAAAAAAAAAAAAGTATCGAACAGTTATAAAATTACGCAGCCATACTAAATTATAAAATGAGCTCATTCAAGAACCTGTCAGAGAAAGAAAACGACATCAGGAATAAACCAAACTGTGGTTTCCTGACATAAATCACACAATATTAAGAGGAGCGACTTTCACAACGACTATAGCACACAGAGAGTGGTCGTTTCTGCCGCAGATTCCTCTACAGAATCTGATCTAGAACGAGAGGTCAGCAGAGCTCCCTGCTCCCCTCTCGGAGGCACAGGCCAAGCGGACACGTGTGGGATAATTACCAGGCCAGGTGCCAGGTGTGTACCGTCCGGGAGGAGGGCAGGGGCGGCCGGGGGCATGCCGGACTGGACATAAGGCAGGCACAAGGGGGTTCCGCAGGTGACCAGTGTTTGGCCAAAAAGCAAAGCTATCAGGAGACTGAGGGTAAGTCAGACTGACCCCCTCATTCCCAAAAGAACCACTGACCCCACTGGAGGGAGTCACTGGACAGGAAGAGAAAATTCTTTAATTCTCTGGTGGATTTATCATCATCTAAAATACCACATGGAAAGATTATCAAAATAATTACTCAGGGCCTGCTCTTCCCCCAAGTTCAGGGCCAGGACATTCCCCTTTTCCTTTCTCATCTGCTGGCTCCTGGCCCTGGCCAAACCCTGGACCCAGCTCTTCCCACTGCTCGCCCATCCCACTCTGGAACAAAAGTGGAACCTGGGCCCTGAGGCCCCGGCAGGGGTCAACATCCAACGTCCACCACCAAATACCTCAATGCCACAGAGCTAGAAACACAAAGTCCCTCCTTCTCTCAATATTGGCAGAAAGTCCTGAGAGTCTCCTTTCCACCAGTTCTGACAGCACTGCGTTCAGAAGACTGATTCACATGGTTAATTGCATATTTCCACCATCTCCAGAGTTCACAAAGGGCCAGAACAAAAAATGTTTGTATAAGAAATGTCGTGTATTCATGTTAAAAATAAATGATCTATAAACAGTCCTCTTTGGAGGAGCATATTTTGATGCCAGATGAGTTATACACACCGATGACATGACACTGAGAAAAGTCCCTGTCCTTTGTCTCAACAGCCCATGCCTTTTACTGCTTAAAGTGAAAAAACATAATAAAAAATAAAAAAACCAGCACTGGCTCTGAGCACCGCGTGCTTCCTTCAGAGCCTTCTATACTAAGCTAATCAGAGCCCTACCAAGAAAACAGACAGCTCGTTAGTGCCGCAACCCAAGCAATAAAGAATTTCATCTCCCTTTGTATCCAGTTCTGCAGAAAACTTCCCGCCACCATTCCCTGATACACAGAGAACCACACTTGCTCAAAAGCAAGCAAATAAGTAAATAGATCAACGGACTTTAAAACTTCTAGAACGCAGGACTCCAAGGCTCACGAGTAACGACTCAAGCCGAATCACTAAAGTAGGTTAAACCGCTTTCTGCTCTCGGACAGAATGTGCAATGTCTTTTCGTGGTGACACCCTGGTGTGCCTTCCTCAGCCCCGGGGTTTCCCTGCCCTCTGAATAAACCTGGAGTGCAGACCAAGCCTTTCTTGGCCTCCCCTCAGAGTTTGGCTAGAAAAATTCTTTAAAGCAACAATCTTGGCCAAGCATGGTGGCTCGTGCCTGTAATCCCAGCGCTTTGGGAGGCTGAGGCAGGAGGACTGCTTCAGTCCAGGGGTTCAAGACTAGACTGGGCAACACAGCAAGACCCCATCTCTAAAAAATAAAAATAAAAAAAGATACAAAAATTAGTCAGGCATGGTGGTGTGCACCTGCAGTCCCAGTTACTCAGAAGGGTAGGGTGAGAGGGAGTTTGAGGCTGCGCTGAGCTGTGACTGTGCCATTGCACCGCAGCAGAAAGAAACGATCTGAACCTGCCTGGCATTTTCACATGGCCAAACAAAACACTGCTCCTGCTCCACTTGGAGGGCCAACCACCAGGGCCAAATCCTCTTCTAGGACCAGCCCCTGCCTCTGCCACCCTCACAAATAATGCCCCATTTGCCAAATGGACGGGAACAAAATGGAGAGGAGATTGTAAAAACAAGTAATCTTCTTTTAGCGTATTAAGGTGTGATCCACAATGGGGATTAAATTCTCCCAGCCATGCCAACAGAGGCAAGGCCTCCACTGGCTCGGGGGGGGCTCCTGACATCACAGCAGAAGCCAGGACCACCTGACACAGGTAAACGGCTCCTCCTCACTTAGCCTTCCTCGGTGACAGATGCTAAAGGTTAACATCTACTAAATACCCACGAGTGGGTAGAGACCCTGATCTTTACCCTCAAGTCTCCCTACCCCAAACAGTCAGGGTCATGAGAGTCCCTTCTGAACTTTCCAAGTGAGCTCTTCGGGGAATCCCAGTTACATGGAACAGACAGACTGGGCCTCTGAAACGATTCGTACAGGATTTCACAAAGTTAAATAGAAGCAATATCTAGCACGGGCGGCAGGGACAGTGAAGCCCTCTGAGGACAGGAGTGAGAACCCCCAGCCCCAGCGCAGACCCCACCGAGCCCAGGTGTGCATCTGCAGGAGTGAGCTCTCTTGACAACTACCAGCCGTCCCCCCACCTGCATTGTTTTTTTGGGATCTTTTTCCCCAAAACAACCAAAGAGTGTTTACATAAAGCATTTCAAAATCAAGCAACAGAAGGGTGAACTTCGCATTCCAAATAAACACTTTCCTCTCCGTGTAAGCGACAGTGTTTTTTGGAGGGTGGGTTGTGTGCGGTAAGTCAGGGTCTCCACGTGGAAGGTGCAAGAGGGGACCCGTGGTTGGCAGGTGAGGGTTTGGGTGGGGGAGCCCCGAGCAGCAGATGGAAGCATCACAGGAGGGGAAAGCTGCCTGAAGGCCGAAGAGCAGGCTGCATGGGCAGGGCAGAACGGGAGGGCTTCATTCACCTCCTCAGTGCTCCCTCCAGCCTCAGCACCTCGACCTCAGGCAGTCACATATCTATGCAAATAGCGCTTATCTGGAAACTATTCCTCTGTTTAGACTTGGGGCCAAATATTCCAGGCACAGCTACTCCAAGTGTCGCTATTGTTCACCAACAAGAGAGCCCCTGAGTCTTCAGATCTCACTGTGCCCTTTCACTTCCCGTTTCAATTAAGCTTCTTCTACAGCTGCCTGGGCTCTTTCTTAGAACACTCCAGAGAGCTGCAAATCATGTAATTACTTTTGTCTCCAAAGAAACTAGCAATGCTGAGAAAATGTATCCAAAAGGTTTATGTAACAGTATTTTTCACTTTCATCACACTACATAACACCCTGAGGAAAGAACTCCAAAGTCAATTCAAAGCAAAGACCCTTCACAAATCATTTGGATTTCCTAATCAGATGTCTCTCCCCGCTCTGCAATGGAGTCTCGCCTCTGTAAGTATTCTTCAAGACAGTATGAATTGGATATAAAATACTATTTCTACTCCAGAACTGGGACTCAATTTACAAAGTAAAATCCATTAGAGCTAAAGGTTATCCAAACATCAACAACATTTAATGC